GGGGCGGCGACGGCGGCAATAGCAGCCCTGAGCGATGGAATCCCGACTCTGGCCCGCTTGAAGGCATCGTCGTCGCCGGCAGGAATAGCGGCGGCGGCGGCGGCGGCAGCGGCAAGAAGAGGGCGGAGAGGACCAAGACCGCCGCCGCGCAAGCCGCTGCTGCCGGAGCCCGGACCGTTGGGACGAGCGACTTCTACACCAAGCGCCACCGACCAAAAAAAAGCTGAACTGCCCATTCCCGTCAGCTGTAGCGAGGAAGTTTGTTGTCGGGAAGGTCGACGAAGGTTAGGCCGCTACTTTTCTTGCTTGATAGGCTGGCCGGCGGCGCTGCTGTGTTGCGGGCGGGACCGGCAAACCAGAGCCGGTTCGTTTTTTTTTTTTTTTTTTTACCGATGTTGCGGTTTGGTGTGTTTTGATGGTGGCGGCGAGACCTTGGAGCGGAAGTAGAGCCTTGCGTGACTGTTGTCTCGCGTTAAGGTTTGTGACGAGCACCAAGTGTTTCAACTTCAGCCGTTCGATCGTTTGGTCCGTGTCTCGTGCGCATGGGAAAAGCATTCTGGGGAGAAAACGCGGTCTGATTTCCGCGGAAAACGTTCGGGGGGAGGGGGGCAGGATAGAGAGTGGGAAGGAGAGGGTGCGTTAGTATGTTGCTGCACGGGTTCTTGTTGAGTGGAGTTGTGCACCATGGTGCCGAAAGGCGGGCCAAACCAAGGATTGCGCGGGGCCGCTTGAGGTGTTGCTATCTTGACGTTGTGATTGGTGGCCGGCCGCACCTGCGCTCTCCCGCGTGGGTGCAGCCTTGGCGGTAAGGGTGAGGTGGCGGCGGGCTGGCTTTGGGGGGGGGAAGTTGCGGTGACAGTCGTCACGGCAGCGACCTCAGGAAAAACACCCAACATCTTGTCTTTTTTGTGCACGTGGTTCGACAAAACGGAGCAGAAGAAGCGTCTGACGACGTCGATCAACAAGGTTTTTCGACGAAGAATTGTGTGGGGTTTCCAATTTGGAAGCGGTTGTCGGTCGGGACCTGCCACTGGTGGGTGCGGGCGACGTTTCAAGTACATTACATGTAGTGGGGGTCCCTCGGTAGTGCCGGTTGCATAGTTTTTTTTACCACTACCCGGATTAGTGCCCGTGAAATTGCGTGATGTGGATGAAGTACATTGTATTCAAACAGTGTGATTCTCTGAGTAGCATCCGGTGCCCCGGCAAAGGGCCGGTGGATCTGGCAGGACCCCGCTGCAGATGGGGCGTGTTTCTCGCTCGGAAGCACCAGAAAAGGGACCGGGGGAACTGCTAGCGTGACGAGATGGGCTGAACAGAGGTGCCTATCTGAGAGCGTGAATGTCAGAGCGACGGTGGGCCTGTAGACTAGGTTGTTGCTCTGTTAGCTTAGGCCGCCGGCTTTTTTTCGTGGTGGCAGGTGTACGCGCGAGTTGCATTTTTGTGCTCGGGAAGATTTGTTCGTGCCATGGGTGTGTTTGCCCTTACGGCTGATTTCCGTATCATGTGCGTGGAGTACTTGTTCTAGATATGTATGCTATACAATACAACCCCGGAGGATGCCGGCAAGTACAATAAATGGACGAGACACAAACCAACAACCGTGAAGGAACAAGGAGAGCGCGGACGTCAGTCAGTAGTTGGTGTCGTGCAGCGGTTGATTGATCGTTGTTGGACTTTTCCAAGAATCGAAGGCGAACCACTCTTCGGAGGCGCAAAAGCCTCTGAGTCGTCTTGCTTCAGCAAGAGGCACCAACAACACCGTTCGTTGTCACCACAAACAACTACAAAGTACGTACTGTAATACCTACCCGTGCTCGCTACAAAAAAAAAACGCCGTCGTACTACGTATTCTACCCAGACACGGCGTCAAGAAGACTGAACACACACACATGCAGCAGGAGTGCCACCACCTTCGTTATTTTCCGTTCGCCGTGACGCCAGCAACGAGCAGCAGTATTCGTTGTTATGTGTGAAGTACGTAACCTATCTACAACCTATCTATCCATTCGTGATGCGGCGTCGTACCCAATCAATGAGGATTTTTGGAGTCTTCAGCAGTACACGGCCGTGCAACTGCTGTAGTACAGTACATTTCTATCCCCATTCGCGACGCCATCATACCATGAAAAAAAAATCGATCGGGCAAGCGGCTGTGGCACACGGCAATCGACACCTACCAGCCCGCATGCTTGCTACATGGACTAGGCTCCGTAAGCACCAAGGTTAGGTTGGCATGCGCGCACGGTTCATTGACTGCCACCAACATTTTGGTCGTATTTTCGTGTTTCGACCGGATTGCGACGTGGCCGCCCGAGAGAACGCGATATCACAAAACCGGTCGATGGTCATGTGGTTCCGGCAGATTTGTTTGGTGTGTCGGCGCGTGTACTGCGTTATCACGCTCGCGGGCTCTTGTCGAGAGCGTTTCTGCACAAACGATTGGCTCAAGTTCCTTGTAATAACGTACCCCGCTCGGAGATCTCGGAGACTTGTATCCTGCCAAGTACACACACACAACTTGGCATGAAATAGCACGACATTGTCGTCACCGTTTCGTTCTCTTTGTTTGGTGGCGGCTTCATTAGTCGTCGAAACTTAGTGTCGGAGCTGATCCAACGTACTTACTTTGGCTTGTTTTTCGCGCAATTTGCTCATGATCGACAGAGATCAACTAAATACACATACGTTTTTGAAATCCGCCGCGGTTTTTTTACTAATCAGCGAACTGCGTGCCACAAATGCTACATACGTTAGGTTGACTAGCTAGCCCTATCAGTAGGACAGGTTCAACATTTCAATTGGTCAGTTACATGGCTACAATCGTGCAAGGTTCGCCGCAGCAGCTGCCGCAGTTGGTTTGTTGCGCATTCTCGAAAACAGAGCGGCGCGATAAAGCGTCCAGGTTTGTTATGATCGTGTTGCACCTTGAAATCGAGCGACAGTATAGCGCGATTGCCCATCTTCTACATGTAGTGAACATGTTTGACGCATCCTGCATCGTTACGCGTGCGAGAAAGGGCAAGGTTTGCACCTATGTGTAGCTTCAACGTGTAGCACCACAGGCAGTCAGCATGTAACATGTCACAGGTCAAATTATTGGTTGATTAACGGCGGTGCGTGCCGCTGTGATCTACACGATGTACCGACTGGGGTGAAAGACTATTTCCCCGCACACGATCTACGAAAAAATGCACACCAGTTTCATGTTGGCCGTTGGGCGTCGAACGATCTAGTCTACGGTCTGCGCGCGGGTGGACGAGAGGATATGTTCGCCATCGTCTGAGGGGTACAAAATCCTTACCTGACGCAGTGCACCACTCTGCTCTCAATGTACAGACCCGCGTGAGAGTAGCGCCAGCCCGAGCGAACAGCGACGGCAGCAATCTCACGCGAAAATCACAGCACAAGGAACGACAAACGAGCAAGTCCGGTACTGCTGTATGTAGCGGGACACGGCAGGCAAGACGCATTGCCGACATCTACAAGTAGGTACATACGCTCACGGTTGAGAAAGAAGCCTTGGCACCGACCACGGACCGTGTGAAAAATGACTGGATCCATTGTTTGAGATCAGAGTTTCAGAAGGCTCCGGAGAGGACCAGCAGAGACGGTGACGACGGAATATATCGGCAAGGAAGATAGACCACCGCAGGGGTAAGTTCGTACGGTGGACAGTGGCATAAAGGACACCCAGCCAGGCAGAAGGTGACTCTGCAGGGAAATGTACGCCGGTGGCAGCTACATCTATCTACGGGAAAAGCAAGACGGACCACGAGGAGATGTCTCCTGCTCCTCCTCCTGCTCCTCCTCCTGCTCTTCCTCTTCCTCCTCTTCCTCCTCCTCCTCTTTCAAAGATCGCAACAACAACGCTATATGCAGCGGATCCAGCGCCGGAAGAACTTCACCGATACAGACGGGAACAAGACTGCAGGTGTATCTGCGATACACCAACGGCGCCTCCTGCCGCGAGCGAAAGCGCACCACGAACGTCGCTTCTTAGACCGTTCTTGATTCGCTCCTTGGCAAGACAGAAGTCGGCCGACGATGGTCAAAGCGTTGTCCCAACAGCAATGTCTCCGCGCGTCAGAAGAAGAAGGCCGTGCCCCGATATAGGTGCACCTAGACGAGTACTTACCGAGGAAACAAGAGCGGCCGAGGCGGAGGAACTTATACTAAGAGATACAATGTTGTTCAAGGATGAGCAAGAACCTAGGAGCATGGCTGTCGTTCCTCCCAACACAAAGCCGTTTCCAGACTGCCGGGCTAGCAGAAGCAACGCTGCTTCGAACGGTAAGCTGCCTCAACATCAAACGCCGAAGTACGTAAAATGCCCGACCTCCGACACCAATGGACCGGGCGTCACGTCGATAGTATTCGAAGGACAACGGGGGGGGGGGTGTTGTCCGTGCCTATGGTTCGAAAAATTGTTGGGAAGATACGCCGAGGAGCTGGAAAAGCGACCGTTGATTTGGAAGTGCGCGACTTCTGCGCTGGTGGGGGCACTGGGGGACGTTATCTCTCAGGGCGTTTATTGGGCGATTCGAGGAGGTAGGGCCAACGCAGTGTGGCACGACACCAACGTGAGTGTGGTGGCGTATGTGCGTACAATCAGTTTGCTGTTGTTGCTGCGCTCGTCTCCACTCGAAACCTGCCCACGTGATACTTATCCGATGTGTAAGTACTATAGGTCGCTCCGATCCTGGCTGGGGAGGCAACCAACCAACAACGGGCAAGGGAATGTCGCCTAAAATATAACTTCGCATGCATGTTTTTTAGAAACAACATGTACGTATGGTTATTTGCTTCTTAGCGCCATCACGTAGACGTTTCTTAGCCCTGCCACAAGCCCTTTACACCCAAAGAAACATGGCTGGATGACTGGGCACCGACGACGAACCGTGCCTGTGCAGACCGTCCAATCAAGTATGTTTATCACCAATAAGATGTGCGCTTGTCTTTAACGCCATCGTGCCCACGATGGGACTTCCTCCTCCTCCGCAGGCAGTGCGACAGTCTCTGGCCGTGGCGATCGATGGCTTTTGCGTCAGCGCCCCTCTTCTCCACCTCGCGTACGGCGCGTTGGACAGGTGTGTGTGCGCGTGTGTGTGTGGTCGTGGGAACATAATCTCGATGTTGTGTCATCTTATCATGGCTGTATCTCGGATCCCCGTTCTCCTCTCAATCCGAAGGCGTACCCTCTGTGACCCGAACCCTGGAGCACGTGCACGAAAAGCCACGAAAGAAACACACGCAACCGCATTCCATGAGTGCACCCTGTAGATGGCAGGTCCTGTAGCAGTGTTGACCGTCGTCCCGCCTGAAAACAGTAGGCGCAGCGCTTAGTGCCCAAGGAGTTGATCACTACCACAAGAGAAGGAGGTAGGCTTCCCAACAGCCACCCTGACCGCTACTTTGTGCGGGGTGCGTTGTGCGCAGCACGATGTGGCTTGAAGCGGTCTTGGCATGCGCTGGAGTGGTGCAGCACAAATCACCGTTTGTTTATTCGCGACGATTTGTTTAGGGAGCAGGTCTCCCGGCTAGGTGTGGCGTAGCCGGCGCTTCCCTTCTCCGAACAAACCCACACATGCACAACCCCGAACGAAGTAGAAACGTTGCCCCATTCCCGGCACATCCTTCCGCTGCTCTCCGAACGGTCTGCCTCGAAAAACCCTCTACCAAACAAGGTGGTTGCCCGCGGAGGAGAGCAAGGCCTACGCGTTGGCACAAGTCCTCGTGGACGTGTTGGTCCTCGACCCGATATTTGGGCTGTTGTTCATGGTCACGACCGGGCTTCTGGAGGGGAGGTCTTTCAGCCAAGAGATCATCCGCACAATCGAGGACGACTACGTCACCTTGGTGTTCTGGCTTGTTGTGATCGGGCTGGCCCTGGCCCCACTCCAGGTCTACACGTTCAACCGCTTCCCGGTTAAGTGGCGTGTCCTGATCTCGGACGGGATGGACGTGCTGTGGACGTTCGTGGCGTGCTTCGTTATCGGACCCTTGGAACCACGACGAGACAGCAGCCCCGGTACTTGGGGCGAAGAATAGAAGATGGTGGGGTTTCGAAGGAGGTCAACCTGGACGCCTCTCAAACCGTTGTTCTTGGTCGGGAGCAGTAGTCTGGGTTTTTTGTATCGGCTCTGCATGCCATGGCCGAGTGCTAGGGAATAGGATTGCCTCGTTTCGAGCTGATCGAGCGATGTCGGAGCGGGTGGCATGTATACGTTGGTTTGCCGTTCATCGATGGTTTGGTTTGGGGTGAAACACCTGTGGAGGCAAACCACGGCTTGGTGTTGTGGTGTTGAGGGAAGGAGACAGCAAGTCGTGCCAAGCACCTGCAGTTTTGTCCAGAACCTTCACGTACCGAAAATAGAAAGTTCGTAGGTCTTTGCGTCCCGGACAAACGGTTTGGAAGAAAATGTATTGTTTAGTGCAATGGTCGAAGAGTGATTCGTCGTATCCCCCTTCCAGTCCCAACCCCGTCCTCCCGCACATATTCTACTGTGCCGAACCACAGGTGGTGCAATACAACCGGTCGTGTTTTTCAAACGTTTGCGAAGTTGAAATTTCTGCCTCTTCTGGGCCGAGAAGTAAGGGACGTTTGTTTGTCGACGAAGCCAAAGTGCGGCCCGCACGTCCAAATCCGTCCTAAACACTTCCCGAAAAAACGGAGCGGGCCGTCGTTGTGCCCAGAAAGAAACCCGAGACCTCCTCGGAAACCCGTCCGCTAAATCACACGGTGACGCGCTGTATCGGCTCGTGTTGTCCACTCTGTTTCCGGCTCGTCGCTGCCGAGCGCGTCTGCCGGCTGGCAAGCCTCTGCAGCCACCACTGTTGTTGTGTCTGTCGCGTACGACCGCTGCCGCCGCAGCGCCTCGCAACCGCTGCCGGCAGAGCACACACACGTCAACATTACTGCGCCGCCTGCTACTCTGCTAGATACTAACCTCGAGCCGTCGGTGGCCCCGCCCGTGACCGCCAAGGAAGATCCCCTCCTCCATGACTGTGCGCAAAAAACATTTCTCGCATAGACTGACTGGTTGTTCTTGTTGTTCATTTTTTTTTTTGTCAGCGCTCACAGCATTTTCGGTCGGGTATAGGCGCTGCAATCCGTGGTCATTTACAAGGGCTCTTCCCCCTGAGGCCCCCTACTCCCTCTTCCTTGGATTATGGAATAGGTGTCGGACAGTGAGTGCTTGGCGGCCATACACTTTGTGTCTTTAGGATTTCCCGACGGTCCTTTCGGACAGTTCCGGCATCATTTGCCTTTCTTTTGTGCACGACGGCTGCCAAACGGGCCGGAGAAAACATGCCCGCCTGATTTTGAGCAAGTTTCGGCAAGAGAGGCTGCACGCGCAATCCGGCGGGGGTCCATCGGGCACACAACCCATCGGGCCTGAATCACCGGAACGAACACACTGGAGGAAAACACCAGAGGAAACACCAGGCAGAGGGAAGGGAATAATACAAGTCAGTGAGCCAACTCCGGCATCACAATGCATGGCCCCAAACGGCGAAATTCCCAAAGTGGAGACACCTGTTAAAGGCACGTATCATACGGCAGCCCGTCACGCAGCTCACGTGGGGAAGCCCACCGAAGCCGATGTTCAGCGTCAACATGTTCTGTGAAAAAAGATCAGTGGAGACGCAGCTACAGGTCTGACATATCCAACACTGTTGGAAGGACCCAGCGCTCTCCCATAAAGCCGTGGCGGCCCTCTCACGAGAGAGTCGGGTATTCGTTTTGAAAGAGAGAGCAAACGTCAAGCCTTAGCGCCCAGAGTGCAACGAAAATTTCCTCCCAAGTCAAACGACGCTCGAGCTCCGCCCCTGTCCCTACGAAGCCAAGTGGGGCCTCTTTTGAGGGTTGAAAATAAACTAGTCGGTCTGTGCTTTCTCTGTGCTTTCTCAGGCGACGAAAAGTACTGAACTATTGCAGTCATTCTTGCTGTAGTCTTTCTGTTATTCAAGTGTCACGAAGCGCTACTGACGATAGCAACGGCAGGCCGTTCATTTCAACCGGTCTTATTAGTCACCGCTCACCTACAAGAGACCATCACCTCCTAGGATCTCTGCTGCACGCAGTTAGATTCGACTGAGACAATCACCTTCTCTCCTGCGTCAGATCGTTTTCGACCTCATCAAAGAAGCGCACTTAGAGCCGACCATGCCCCGAGTCCAACACCACGTTGCGTTCTCCCGGAGAACACTGTCATGGACGGCAAGGGATCAAGTCCGTTGCTCCTAGCTTCGGGTACTCATAGTTGTCGTCTGATTTCATGTTTTAGCCTTCTAGACCAGGTCCGCTCAGCACTCACGCCCGAGAGTGCGGGAGCGGGGCTGGGATATTGATCATCTTCCCTCAAGCTACTGCAACACCCCAAAACGACGCCAAATATCCATATAAATTATATCCAACGAAAATGTTAAGTACCGCTTAAACTCTGACACAACGCTCAAAGAGCGTTCTGTACAATGCTCACGCACTAGTTGCTCCATTACTGCTGAACACCCAATCACACTCATGTTGTTATCTAAAACGTTCGAGAGCACATCCACTAACACAAACAATCACATCAGGGCCAGGGCCGCCGCCTAAGCTGATATTACCAAACACACACGCATGCACTCCCGCGTGTAGCACCCACGGTCAATCAATCATACACACAACTGATACATAACAATCATGACAAGTCTGCAACCCCTCCTCCAGACACAAACAAATCCTAGGGACATAGAACACACCTTTTGCCAAGAGAGGGAGGGGCCTAGAGGCCTGACAATGACAAAGAAACGGTCTCTATACATCATGCACCACTAAACTTAGAACTATTGTGAATGCAGGACCACAATATCTTCCTTCAATACAGAAACGTAAACAAGATATTACAAAAAAATCAAGATACAATCGCCAACAAACATCGTCCTCGACTGCACAACCGTGTTATTCTACGCTGCACACCAGAGACCACGCGGCACATGGCAGTAGCTTTGTGAGCAGTGTTTTCCGGGCGTCACTCTAACAATGTGTGCATACCGAACCCAACGAAAACCAACACAGTAATAACGCCAAATCGCGACACGCCGGACAATATAGTCGTACGTTGGGAGTGGACAGAATCCATGCCGGCGTGACTGGTCCTGACGCCGATTTTGCTCTAAAACAAGGCCTTGTCGCGCACAAACTGGAGCTAGCGATGTGGTATTACTATTATAGTCTAGAGGCCAAACATAGGTGCTATTTTAAAACCTAACCCTAACCCTAAACCTGATACGCTAGCTAACCCTAACCCAATCCCTATATAATAGAGGCTAAACAATAAAAGTCAGCCCCGCAAAGGGGTCGTCCAGGTTGTGGCTTTTCAAAAGCTAACGAAAGCATCTAGGCTACATCAGGTTCACCGTCCGAACAATTAGCCATGCCGAAATCCTAACTCTAACCCTTACCCTAACCCTATCTGGCAGTTAATGCAGGCACACACATGCAAATATAATAGAAAACATAGACTACAACACATACGCACGCACAGGCTAAGCGCCACGCTGCCGGCCTCGAGACCGGCTCATTTGACGTGAGAGAACAAGCTCGACACGCAGGTCCACACGAGGTCGATCAGATCAGCCGTGAGCACCCTGTACTGGACCGGGTAGCGGTTGAAGAGGTAGATCTGGATCGGAGCCCAGCCCACGCCTATGACGATCAGCCACAGCACCAGGGTCGGGTAGTGATGCACGATGGTGGGGAGTATCTCGCCTCGCACGGATCGGCCTTCGATGAGCCCGGTGGACCATACGAACATGAAGGCGAACACGGGGTCGATCACAAGGACGTCGACGCAGACCTGGCCATAAAAATGGTGGGGGCAGGAGGAGGTCTGGGAAACGAAGAAGAAACTGCACGTCGGCGGCATGTACCTGCGGCGCCCTTTACGCTGTGCAGCAGCAGCAGCAGCAGCGGTGGTGACACGCCTCCTGCAAGCTACGTGTGTGTATGCTGTGTGGGTGTGCTTTGTGCAGGTGTACATGCTTTCCTAAACGCCTTGCCACAGTCTTCCGCCGCTACTCGGTTTGGAGCTGGTTGGTTCGCTCGATGGGTTACTACGTTGCGGCGGTTGCCACTGCGTCAACGCCCACCCGGGATGGCAGCGCTGCGATGCTTCGCGCCGCAGGCGCCCCATCGCTTATTGACAACCCGCGCCCGGGCCGCGCACGGGGGCAGTACCGACAAATCAGTATAGGAATGGATTTTTCGACAGCGTATATTATTCGACTTCGGAACCTTCTCTCGGATCATCATAGGGACATAACCGAGGGTGGAGTTTCGAGATATTGGCGCGTTTGTTCACAACAATTTGTGATAGGTTCTAAACCCTGGTAGCGCTACGAGCGCATTGGCACACAGAGCAAAGAGTGCAAGATAGAAACAGCTAGGCTCGAAAACAAGCACCAGAGAATACCCCTTCGTCTACTACTTGGGTGGCCCACACGGCTTTTCCCGAAACAACCAGCGTCAGGGACCTCAATGCACAGGCGTTCTTGTGTTCTAGCTTGTCATGGGACTTGCCCTTGATCTTCTTTGTTGAGTCACAATTTGGTTTGTAGCCGCAGCAATCTGTCCCGATGCCAAATAGAGGAAGGAAAAGGAGGATGCCGCATCGTTTTGGGTTTGGCAACACCAACAAGCAGCAACAACAACGACAAGGGGAACAACGAGTGTCAAAGGTCACCTGAGTCATAGCTGCGAGGATACTGTCCCCGGCCGGCATACGGGACTCGAGCATCTCGTAAGCATAGTGCAGCAGTGGGCCGTTGATGAGGAGACCGTCGATCATTACCGCGCAAGAGCGCCACACCATCTGCCCCCCCCCCCCAAAGGTCACGGTTGCAGGCGTCGGTACACGCGGGACAGAATAATAGAGGAGGTAAGATTATACACAGTTATTACCGAAGACCAGTTGTTGTATGGATACTTCAAATACCAATTAGAAGCGCGTTTACGCAGGAGGCTGTCCTCTCGAGAATACTAAAAAGAAAGGAGAAAGAAACCTCCACAACATGTCAACCAATACTCACTCACAGCCGTTGTTTTCCACGGGGGAAAGGCCGCTCCAAACAAGTACTCCACCCATTGCGCCAGCACATCGCCGAGCAGCCCGATGAATCCCGACGAGATCGATTTAGTCAGTACCGGGTACGCGTCCAGAGCACCTTTTCACACCGAAACGAGCACGTGGGGATTAATTAAGGCACCAGAGCAGGAAAAAGAGAAGAAAAGTGTTTGTTGTGTAACGGAGAAAGTTCTAGCACGTGTTTGGCTGTTTTGGCTGATGTTGTCGTGGTGAGATCTGGACCAGAAAAGGGACAAAAATGGTAAAGGTCGCTTCACGTCGCTCGCATTAGAATCTCCAGGCATGAGACCCAGAGCAACAAAGAAACCGAATTCGATGCTCGTCCCAGGCGTGGTGGTAGGTGATAGAGCACGCGCGGGAGGAACTAAAACGGTCCGCCCCGGTGTACGTATTTAGACTGATGCTACGGCGGTAGGGAGGTGCACGTTCTGGGTGAAATCTTACACGTAGTTCTGTTTCGGTGATGGTACGGCGAAATTGGACACTCCCAACGGGTTTACGTAAAAGTGTGTCTCCCTCCTCGACACAGTGTAAGATGTAAGATGAGGGGATCCCCCTATCGTAGCATCACTCATTATAATTAGTATTCCACCACGACAAGGCTTCCATGTGGATCAAGAGGGGGGAGAGAGAGAGAGTGGAGCTCACTCCATTTATAGATTAGGCTTCTGTTTAGCAGAGGAGCGCCCCTTTGGTCTAGTTAATGACCTTTACTTTCGAAACGAGAGGCACAGAAAAAGTTGGAGCGGTTGGTTCCAATTTCTTGCTTGATGCAACACAACAAATTCATCTCAGTTTGGAAATCTCGATGTTGAGAAGGTGGAGGCAAATTGTTGGTGTTGTTGTCGTCTTTACATTCAAAATCGTTCCGATCTCTCTGCCCAGTACAAAAAATCTGCACGTACGTACGTACCGATCTACCACTTTGACGGGTTCGATTTCCGTGATCACAGGCTACACAACTTAACCTAAAATATATACCCGCAACAAAAAATGGACCCGAAGGGTCCGCAAAAAAACAATAAAAATCAGAAATAATACAAAAAAAAAAGTAGTCTGGATCGAGCCCTTCGCTCCCCTGTACACGCTATTATTATGTGAGGTAAAAATGAAACCGGAAATAAATCAACATCACGGGCCGGAGAGGTGCATCCCCTGTTTCAATCTTGGTGCACCATACTCTGCAGGCGGGTTGGTCCGTGTCGGATTCTCGCCGGTCAGGTCGAGTCGACAAACAAACTGGGTCCTCCCCCACCGAAAAACAGAACAACAAGTCGAAGACGTGATACATACGCGGGGAGGAAATGATGCACCGCCGTACTCCCGGTCTTCCCGTAATAGGACACATAGCTGCGCAGAGACCAGAGAGGGACGCCTGGGAAAGAAAATAACAATTTAAATGACCAACGAAGGGCTACTCAGGCTGAAAATGCGTGGACGCGGACCGATTGGAGGGTCGCAGACCAGACGAAAGAACAACATCTGTTGTTGATCCACGCACGTACGTCAAGATATAAACATCAACATGATACGACGAACTAACCGCGTTAATTTTATTACGAAATGAAAGTGTTATATATCTTTTCGCCTAGAGGAAAGAAAACGGCAAACCGCCGATGATGATCATAACGATGCTACGAAAGATCGCAGTTTGTACTGCTGCTTGCAGTGCTGCTGTTGGTGTAGCGGGCCGCTCGGTATATTGCCTACATTCATTCTCGGTGTTGGTCGAGAAAATGATAAGAAGATTTAAGAAGACTGTTTGCACGGCGCGTTACTTGGTTTTGAGTGCGCCATCATGGAAAACGGCCCTACTTTGCAGTAAGAAATATAGAGAGATGCGTTATGAAAATACCGACGGTAGAGATAGTTGGTTGTTGTGCCCCCTCGCCTCCTCTGTCCTCTCTTTGTGCCCCGCGCGCGCCCTGGTAGATATTTTAGAGACATGGACGCTTGTTGTGCATTTTCAGTCGGTAGGGGACGCTCGTTTCCCTGAAGTTTAACAGGAACCGCCTAAAAAGAACCGCCACATTGCAGTACCGCCGAAAAAGTACCGCCGTACTGCAGTACCGCCGTAAACGTACCGCCGTACGTACTGCAGTACCGCCAAAATAGCACCGCCATACTGCCGGTCGCCCCGGTGGTCTAGTTGGTATCCTCGAAACCTTCTAGAGGTGAGGTCAGGTCAGGGGTTCGAATCCCGGCGTAAGCGAGCTTTTGTTGCAACGTGAGTTTTTCTCTCGCTTCCGCTTCTGGCCTACCTAGTGGATAGCGCTAGTTCGTGTGTACACAGAGGGAAGAGAGTGCTGAACTCTTCTCGCATTAAAAAAGAAGGCAAAGTACCGCAGGAGGGGAGGGTAGAGAGGGGCTCTTCTGTGTGACCACGGGTTGGAGTAAATGGCACTACGAGTAGTGCTGTGAGCGCTAATTTGAAGTGAAGACAAAACAAAAAACAAAAAAACTACAGTACCGCCGTAGAAGTACCACCATGTCGCACGAGCCTGTGAGGCTGTCGCACCTGGGAGAGAAGTAGGCTAGAAGGGAGTTAGTTCTAAGGACGATATTCCGTGTAGAACAGTGGTCCGAGTCCAGCTGGCCTGCATCTGATCTTCGTTCATCTTTTTTCTTTTTCTTTGTTCTCTTTCGTCATATTTTTATATTTTTTATATTTTTTATTTATTTATTTATTTAGACTATTTGTGGAGACCACCTTCATAAAGGTAGAAACTCCCCAACGTCTGTCGAGGACGATTCCCTCTTTTCACAATGGCGTCGACGTGAGATGTCAGGGCGTCTGCTTTTGATTGCAAAAGACACGGGTTCAAAACCCGCTGGTCACCAAATTTTCTTTCGGAAAACGAAAAAGAAAAACGGTGGGCGGGCCAAGGGAGGACGCACTGGCTATCGAACTCGGAACTTCTGTAAACGTGGCGGACGTAGCGAATCCGTAAAACACGTACAGAGGAGTGTGAGGAATGTGAATCGCCCCGCCGCCAGCCGGTCGGGTTCCGGTTACCCCAAGAAGACTTCTCTTGCCTGGAAAACAAGAAAAAGTCTCGAAAAAAGGGGGGGGTAATGTGGTGACCACCTTCATAAAGGTAGAAACTCCCCAACGTCTGTCGAGGACGATTCCCTAGACTGTCGAACCGTATGCCAATCGTACTCAATAAGCAAAACGATTGCTTACACCCAGCGGTATGGTTACGCGAACCAGAACCCGCACAAAGTACAAATTCTTGATACCTAACAAGAATAAACTTTGACATATCATCATTGATTGACATCAATAACTGGTAGCTTGTACGAGCCTTGGAGAGATTAAATCCGTACGGTGTTGCTTTCAACACGTGTGTTTTCCACACGGCACTGTCAGCTGTCTTCGGATAGTGAGGGAGAGATTTAATTTTCGAAAAGCTGTATCTGGATCCAATGATACATCCATACCTGCTCCACTACAATTAACATGCAAACATGCATGCGCGCCAAAACCCAACTTCAACAAGCTGAGCTTTCGGCGAAGAAAAAGGGGGGCTATGTGGAGGTCAGGATATGGAGATTCAGGGAGCACAGATACACGTACATAAAGAGTAGGATCTGAGAGGATAAGTGATAATAGATTACCGTTCTTCGAGGGTCTATGACTCTTACGATTCCCAACGGCTGCGAAGAGTTGATGAATCTTTAGGAGAATGGGAAAAGGGTCCACGAAGGCTCGCCCACTCTCCTCGCCACCCTAGCTTGACTGAGTTCGCTCGGTCACGCTTGGCATTCCTCGCCACATTGCACCAAAGGAAATAGCCAACCTCCGGTGGCAGGACATAGCCACCACACTCCCGGACTCTCTGCTCAGCCAGAGTAGAGGGCTTCCATATATTTGTTTATTTATTTATTTTTTTCTTAATATGACACAACGAATCCATCTCTATCATAGAGTCTGAGACAGATTAGCAATGAATTCATAGCGTAGCGTCAGAAAGTACCTGTCTGTATGTCTACGGTTTCCCAGACAGTATATATATAGGGACATCTCCCCTGCGGGTAACAGGCTCAACAAGACAGTTTGGTAGCTGTCTTGTGTGTCTCATATATATATATATATGTTATGTTGGGGAGGTGCAGAAGAAATAAATAAATGTGTTAGGTACTGGTCGGGCGTTTTGTGTGTGGCACCCTTCCTTTTAGTCGTAGGGCATGCATCTCCCTCAGTTTTCAAACGTATTTTCAATGTGGTACGCGTATGTACCGGGTATGTATGTATATGTATAATATGTATGTGTGGACACATTTCGGAGTATGTATGTATAGTATATAGGTATCGGTTTCGAGGCATAATGCGAATGAATTTGACTCTATCTAGTCTTTGGTTGTTTCCATTACCGGTCGCCCCGCCCGGTGGTCTAGTTGGTATCCGCGAAACCTTCTAGAGGTCAGGTCAGGGGTTCGAACCCCGGCGTAAGCGAGCTTTTCTTGCAAAGTGAGTTTTTCTCTCGCTTCCGCTCCTGGTCTTCTAGTGGATAGCGCTAGTTCGTGTGTACACAGAGGGAAGAGAGTGCTGAATTCCTCTCGCATTAAAAATCGAAGGCAAAGTACCGCAGGAGGGGAGAGTAGAGAGAAGCTTTTCTGTGTGACCACGGGTTGGAGTAAACGGCACTAAACGGCACTACTAGTGCTGTGAGCGCTGATTTGAAGTGAAGATCAAAAAAAAAAAAAAAAACGCTCTCCCATACAACGGCTACAACAATGTAACTAAAAATAGACCAAGTAAACTACTACTACTAGTAGCCTACGGTACAACAAAAAAATACAGGACATAATATATTCATATCATAGTCGTTGTCTACGCAATGAGCACCCACGCACCGCTGTACATCAATAGTAGCCTCCCGAAACAGTTCGTGGCCCTCTTGACTCCCAATTCGGCGCCCTGCTCCTGACGGGAACCCTCCAGATCGAAACGATGGGCATCATCACTTGTTGGTGCCGCCGTAGCATCTCCGCCATCAAGCTCTTCTTCCTCCTCCTCGTCATCAACAGGAACGATCGTGGCTGATAGTGTGCGCCCTTTGGGAGGCGGAAACAAGAAACGGCGAACTGCATGCCCTTGTCTTGAACAGGGTCGTCGCAGTGGTGGCTGGTCATGGGGGGGTGGAATTGCTGGTGGTGGTGCTTTCGCTTCTTCTCTTCCCGAACCTTGCGAAGCAGCCAAGCATTCCCCTTGGCACGGCGCGATGTTCATCATGATGGTTGATGATTCTGATGTCTGTCTTCAATCAACGGACCACCC